GATCAGCTGACTGTGTTGACCCTCTCTGTTGGATCAGCTGACTGTGTGGGTCCTGTCTATTGAATCAGCTGACTGTGTTGGTCCTGTCTACAGGATTATCTGACTGTGTGCGTCCTGTCTACAGGATAAGTTAACTGTGTGGGTCCTGTCTATTGGATCAGCTTACTGCGTGGTCCTGTCTACAGGATCAGCTGACTGTTTGGGTCCTGTCTACAGGATCAGCTGACTGTGTGGACCATCTCTGTTGGATCAGCTGACTGTGTGCGTCCTGTCTATTGAATCAGCTGACTGTGTTAGTCCTGTCTACGGGATTAGCTTACTGCGTGGTCATGTCTACAGTTTCAGCTGACTGTTTGGGTCCTGTCTATAGGATCAGCTGACTGTGTGGACCCTCTCTGTTGGATCAGCTGACTGTGTGGGTCCTGTCTATTGAATCAGCTGACTGTGTTGGTCCTGTCTACATGATTAGCTGACTGTGTGGGTCTTGTCTACATGATTAGCTGACTGTGTGGGTCCTGCCTATTGAATCATCTGGGGCGGTCGGGTAGCTTAGTGGTTAAGCGTTCGCTCGTCACGCCGAATACCCGGTTCGATTCCCGACATGGGTACAATGTGTGAAGCCGATTTTCTGGTGTCCCCCGCCGTGATATTGCTGGAATATTGCTAAAAAGGCGTAAAACCATACTCACTCACTCACTCATTGAATCATCTGACTGTGTGGGTCCTGTCTATTGAATCAGCTGGCTGTGTGGGTTCTGTCTATTAGATCAGCTGTGTGGGTCCCGTCTACGGGATCATCTGACTGTGTTGGTCATGTCTATTGGATCAGCTGACTGTATGGGTCCTGTCTATTGGATCAGCTGACTGTATGGGTCCTGTCTACAGGATCAGCTGACTATTTGGGTCCTGTCTGTTGGATCAGCTGACTGCGTGGTCCTGTCTACGGGATCAGCTGACTGTTTTGGTCCTGTCTCTTGGATCATCTCACTGTATGGGTCCTGTCTACAGGATAAGCTGACTATGTGGGTCCTGTCTCTTGGATCATCTCACTGTGTGGACCCTTTCTATTGGATCAGCTGGCAGTTATGGTCCTGTCTATTGGATCAGCTGAATGTGTAGGTCCTGTCTACAGGATCAGCTGACTATATGGGTCCAGTCTATTGAATCAACTCACTGTGTGTGTCCTGTCTACAGGAACTCCTCAGTGTGGGTCCTGTCTAATGGATGAGCTCACTGAATGGGTCCTGCCTATTAAATCAGCTCACTGTATGGTCCTGTCTAGAGAATCAGCTGACTATATGGGTCCTGTCTACTGGATCAGCTCACTGTGTGGTCCTGTCTACAGGATCAGCTGACTAAGTGAGTCCTCTCCATTTGATCAGCTGACTATGTGGGTAATGTCTATTGGATCAGCTCACTGTGTGGGTCCTGCCTTTTGAATCATCTGACTGTGTGGGTCCTGTCTATTGAATCAGCTGACTTTGTAGGTCCTGTCTATTGAATCAGCTGACTTTGTAGGTCCTGTCTTTTGGATCAGCTGTGTGGGTCCCGTCTACAGGATCAGCTGACTGTGTGGGTTCTGGCTTTTGAAACAGCTGGCTGTATTTATTTGTTTGTTGTTTAACGCCGCAATATTCCAGCTATATGACGGTGGTCTTTAAATGACTGAATTCACCAATGGGGCAAGCATCTGTTGTTGGCAGTAGATTGATGCAGAAATTGTTGTGTCATCACACCTGACGCTGGAACAGTTTTACTTTTAATTAAGGTAACAACAGGTGGACGTGGTCGCTGGCACTATGGAGAACACCACACCTTCCAATCATATCTCAGTCAATGCGCTTATACTCTTTCACCTCATTGTGAATATCAATACCTTGTTTACACATTGTGTCACGGTGATTTTACAGGACTTCATTGCATTAAACTCTCAAGACATGGGACGTCGTATCAGCCTGTCACTGATGGCATTTATCTTTTTAAGAATTAGTTTTGTCCTTTAGTACATTTGAAAGAAGGTATATACGAGTATTTCCGTTAATTCTACCGACCATACAAACTACATGTATATGCTCCGCACAAGAAGAAACGCATGGGACATTGATAAACATGTGCATACATGAGTGAGTGAGTCAGCTGTGTTTAACGCCGCTTTTAATAGTATTCTAGTTGTATCAGCTTAATGTCAGCTTAATGTTGGAGGAAAGTCCAAAGTGATGCAGGTCTCAGACGTTTACCACTTCGGTGAAACCTACGAGCACGGGTATAGTGCTGACAAACCTAGAAACATAATCGGGTCGAACCGGGATTCGAACCCACAATCATAGGTTTCTGGCGTGCCCGGGGGACGCAACTCTGCACAGCGCCTTAGACGACTGGGCCACCCGTGCCCCCTTGTACATGAAAGACAAAAACACATGAACGATTTTGTGAAGCCTGAATGTGTAATTTAGTTCCAAATGACTCATGTATTGTGATGCGTGATGACCAGGGGATCAATGCATGTTCATGAAACATCATAAACGGGCCTCTTTCTCTGTTGCCCAAACGTTGTCCGCCAGTAACTGTCCAGCTATGAACACATGCCATGGCTAACTGAAGTCGTCGTCGGAAGATTGGAAGCGGGAGAATCGCAACGGCATTCATTTTGTTGACTCTTTGAAATTGGGTGTGAAAGAGTGTTGTTGTTTGTTGTTTAACGCCAAACTCAGCAATGTGACGGCAGTCTGTATATAATCGTATCTGGACCAGATAATCCAGTGACTGATGACATGTGCATCGATCCACGCAATTGGGATACGCTGACATGCATCAACCATGTCAGCGAGCTTGGCCACCCGATCCCGTTAGTCGCCTCTTACAGCAAGCAAGAGTTGTGAAGACCTATTCTAACAAGGATCTTCACTGGGCTAATGACGTTCAATGTGCCCCAGACACAATCTGTTGACTTGGTACCGGTACCAACAGCATGGTACATCAAGAGATTGTCCCAGTGATCTTCGACAGAAACCATACATTGCACACATTTCCCAGCGTGTGATCTGTACTCTCATGTAGTCAATGGGTAGTACTAAATAAAATAATCAAACCAGTTTTTTCTGAAAAGAAATCCATATATACCTCGTATTGTAGGGATACAATATTATCTTTTCTTGCAGTTGGTGTGTGTTGGAATATCGAGAAGTCAAATTTTAATTAAAGTATATTATTCTAATACATTGTGTCCCGTGACATTGTTTGAATATTATACACATCTGTGTCAACAATAATTCCCTCGCTATCAACATAAATATAATAAAGATAAAATTGACGATTGAGCACACACATCTAACCGGGAAGTCTATAAAGTCCATATACACGGATCGTGTTGTCGACGATACACTTGTTAGAAACAGTGTGTATACTTACATCATGTTGTCAACGTGTCATACTCAACTTGAATACCCACCAAGACCCGGGAACCAAAACGAGTGCAAGGGCATTCAGTGACAATGAGATTGCTTTAGTCTTGCGACGGTCTTGAGACGGTGTTGGTGTAATCGCTCGCACCTTGCGGGCCTACGCAGCGTGGTATCCCACCAAGCTTCGCGACCATCTGGCACTGTTGCACGATAAAGTCCTGAGATTTATGCATCAAGCTATAAGATAGAGTTGTGTTTCCATACAGGAAATTAAAGTGGCGTTTCAACATGAATGTTTAACTAAATCCCTTCGAATATATTCCCCTTTAATATGCTGTATATGCTTATGGTATAATAATTGTTATAACCTTTCATAATCATAACTTACTTTACATAACACAAACGTGCTTACTTTAGTGGGTTAGTCTTGTGGTTAAAGGACCAGGGGGTTGGTCTGTTTTGAAACCCCCGGTTAAACAGCAGGGGCTTTGTCATGTTTAGGAGCTACTTTTTCCAACATAAACATGTGGTCAATTATATTTTGTAAATAAATATATAAAGATAACGAAGTGTTGTTTTTGGACACTATTTGAAAGAAAAGGGCGCATCGTGTTTATTCCTACAATGCAGTGCAAATATAACAAATAATTCATTAAAACAGTAGCTTCATTATATAAGAAGAGAATATAAAACGTCAACGAGAAACGACAGAGAATAACCAGTCTCGATTATCCGACCAAACAGAATCCATCGGTCGTATAAGGCAAAACAGTGGTGAAACACCAGTGTGCCGTTGTACAAAACAACCTTAGCACTACGACAGTCGCAAGTCTATGTTCAGGTGTGGGAGTTACGATCACCTTAGCGCTAAGATCGCTTTGTACAACGGCACCCAGGTGTTCGCGAAAAGGGAACGTATGACCTGCCCAACCGGTAGCACCCGCCACTCCACCTCCTCCGCGTTGTACAACAGCGTGGTGCAACTATACTCGCCGTTTCACTTTACGTCCAGTAATGATAGCATAAAAGGCTAAATTCACATGGCCGTGTGTCTCTTGTGACATACTCCTGACTGACTCTTGAGACGTCGTGACTTGTGGGTTAATGCTGGATCTAAGGCTCGCTCCATAGAAACCGTGTTGCCCTAGTCCAGGGGGTGCAACAAACCACGTTGATCGATGGCCATGATGTCAATCACTGGATTGTTTGATCCAGACTCGATTATTTACAGACCGCCGTCATAAAGATGGCATATTGCTGAGTGCGACGTTAAACAACAAACAAACCTATACCGCTTTTAGAAATATTACAACAAAATCATGTCGACGAAACCATACCTCTGGTTCATATATTGCAGTAATATGGGGAATCGAGTCCGTGCTTTGCGCCGACGAGCCAACGCTTGAATAACAATGCTAAGCCGAACATTATATTTCTTGATGTTAATGTTCCGTTGAGCAATACACTGCCCCGCAATGGTCCGCATGGAAGCTGTTCACTGTCAATGACTCATTCATCATATACAATATATCCGGACTGCTTTCTACTGCTTCCGATTACTTAGATCCTGTGTCTAGCTTACATCAACGCCGGGGACACTTTCACTCTACAGTGAGCGCGATCAGTTGTGCATAAAAGGAGGAGAGTTGCAACGTTTCCCTGCAAAGCAGTGGTCAAGATGGCTTGTGGGAACAGAACGTTGAATATGACAACCAGCGACTTGGCGTTATTACATATACCCACAGTGGTGTACCTTCTCCTCATCCTGGTGCTTGGACTGTTTGGAAACCTATTTATTCTGTACATATACACTCGGAAATTAAGAATGAACATTTTTGGATATTTCGTAAAGCTTATAGCTGTATTTGATTTGGCTGGAACGGCCGTTGCTGTGCCGACAACCCTGGTGTTTCTGCTTACCACTTCCCCCGGGTACCTAGATGTCGGAGACATGTGTCAGGTGATGACGTTCACGAAGCACTTTAATGCTGCAAATTCGGGATTGATATTCATCATCATCGCATCTCAAAGATACAGAAAAATATGTAAACCTCACCAACGTCAGATGTCAGATAGCCTTGTGAAAAAACTTTGCATATCTTCAATTTGTGTTTCTACACTGATGGGCATACCAATTGTGTTCTTTCAGGGACACACACCTATATGTATTGAATGGGGAGCCCAAGTCGTCCAGATTCCCATATGTGATTTCGTCTCCAATGAGAAAGGAAGGGTTCCATCGATCCTGTATGCAATCTGGGTTGGTGTTGAACTGATAGGAATCACGACAACCCTTACCGTCCTGTACACATTTATAGCCAAAGCATTGTGGATGCACAACAGGAACAGGGCATCAAGTTTTGAGCCTAATAGCAATGGACCCTCAACGAGGGACAAGACAAGGACGGCAACTGTCACCTTCTTTGTTCTGACAGTCGTTTATCTTGTGTCAGGAGCACCTATGATTGCCTTGACCGTGTATTTCTGTTTCGTCCGCGTGGATATGCATTCGTTTTGGTCCTATTCAAAGTTAATTGCTCTGGATCTTGGTGGCAACTTGTTGTATCTGAACTATGCAATTAATCCGTTTGTGTACAGTCTCACGTCCTCGTTGTTCAGAAGAGAATGCAGACGTGTGTTTGGAAGCTCAGCGCCTAAAAGGAGCACTGTCTTATGACCATCTTACAGCAATTTAACGACCCGTCGTAGATGGTTTTCAGTTTGTTTTAAGTAGATATCTCCTCGAACTGGTGTCGCTGATATGTGTAGCAACGTTGCTGTTTCTCTCTTTTCAGAACTGTTATCACAGGGCGAAGCGTTATCAATCAAACATGTGTACAGTTAATTTTCATAGCCTTATTTCGAAGAAAGTAAAATGTAGTGTTTCAGTGTTTGATTTTTGTTTTGTAATGAATATTTAAACTTTTCATCTTGGTGTTCATGCTACTTGGTTTAGTGCCAACTTTATGAAAACATTGGGGTCAAGATTGGGGTTCTGCCGGACTGTTATTTGAATGGCAAACACGTGACTGAGGTGATAATTTACAAATACTAATTGTACCATAGACCGGTAATGAGTGAGTGAGTATGGTGTTACGCCACTTTTAGCAATATTCCAGCAATATCACGGCGGGGGACACCAGAAATGGGCTTCACACATTGTACCCATGTGGAGAATCGAACCCGGGTCTTCGGCGTGACGAGCGAACGCTTAACCATGAGGCTACCCCACCGCCTTAGACCGGTAATGAAGATATCAAAAAGCGACAAACCATTTCCATAATCATAAGAAATCTCCACAGAGTCCATACGATTCCCACTGTGTTATAAGCATAGTGATGACACCAGGTGTTCGCGAAAAGGCGTGCGTGTCCTGCCACACCGGTGGCACCCGTCACCCGTCACAAACACATACCAAGGATTGACATGACATAGTTATCTTTTAAGATATATGATTCCGAGTTCAAAGTTACATTTTCATCTTTGGACCACCTCGAAATATAAGAAATACGTTGTAGCAAAACAATGTCAAAAACAAGGGGGAGATAGTTCCAAAGTATGGTCAAATAAGGGCATAGTTTACACTGTCATGGATTATATATCTATTGGTCTACCAAGGAATATCGGGGAGCTCAGGTGGCCCAGTCGTCTAAGGCGCCTGCAGTTAATGTTAATTTAACGTTTAATTACGTTACTAAGTCGTTCCAGGATCGAATATGATGATGGCTTCTGATCTGTCAACACCATACCCGAACAACGGTCTACGACATGCATCCGCGCGGTGTGCGTGCGTGTGTGTTTAACTCAGCACTCAGCAATAGTCCAGCTACATGACGGTGACCTGAAAATAATCCCTTCTGGACTAGGCAATCCAGTGATTGATATTGTGAATAACCACCTACGCCCTCGGAGCACGATGACACGCCATCAACCAGGTCACCGAGCCTGACCACCCTGACCATTACGACCAGCATAGCCTGGTGGGGACCAATTCACACCAGGATTCCCCACGGGTTTGCCTCACATTGGACGTTCCTCTAACAATATGCTTATATAACTGAAATACTGTTGGAATTGGCATTAAACGCAAATTACTCACACACTCAATGGTGATGACAGGAGCACCAATCTAATTGCACATAAGTGACAGGTGATAGCATTGCTTCCGGCACGGAAGTGTCTCGCCTCCCTCCGATATCCACACTTCCGTGTATTATATATCCTTAAACAAACAAAAAAACTACCAGCCGATTTAATATAAGAAAATACAGGGGGCAACCAACCAAAGTGAAGGGATTTATATGTATAAATTTAGGCGAAGGGATATGTATGTGTATGGTTGAAAGACGATTGATTTGGCTTCCTCTTGGTGGTGGTAGCGGTGGTGGTAGTTGTGGTGATGGTGGTGGTGGTACTGGTGGCGGTGGTGGTAGTTGTGGTGGTGGTGGTGGTTTTAGTGGTAGTAGTGGTGGTGGTGGTGGTTTTAGTGGTAGTAGTGATGGTGGTGCTAGTGGTGGTGGTGGTTTTAGTGGTAGTAGTGGTGGTGGTGCTAGTGGTGGTGGTGGTTTTAGTGGTAGTAGTGATGGTGGTGCTAGTGGTGGTGGTGGTTTTAGTGGTAGTAGTGGTGGTGGTGCTAGTGGTGGTGGTGGTTTTAGTGGTAGTAGTGGTGGTGGTGCTAGTGCTAGAGGTGTTGATGGTAGTAGTAGTAGTGGTGGTGATGGTTGTGGTGGTAGTTGTGATGATGGACGGGATAGTGGTATTGGTGGTAGTGGTGGTGATGGTATTGGTGGTAGTGGTGGTGGTGGTGTTTTTAGTGGTAGTGGTGGTGGTGTTTTTAGTGGTAGTGGTGGTGGTGGTGCTAGTGGTGGTTTTGGTGGTAGTGGTGGTGGTGTTTTTAGTGGTAGTGGTGGTGGTGGTGCTAGTGGTGGTTTTGGTGGTAGTGGTGGTGGTGCTAGTGCTAGAGGTGTTGATGGTAGTAGTAGTAGTGGTGGTGGTGGTGCTAGTGCTAGAGGTGTTGATGGTAGTAGTAGTAGTGGTGGTGGTGGTTTTAGTGGTAGTAGTGGTGGTGGTGCTAGTGGTGTTGGTGTTGGTGGTGGTGGTGGTGGTGGTAGTGGTGGTGGTGCTAGTGCTAGTGCTAGTGCTAGAGGTGTTGATGGTAGTAGTAGTGGTGGTGGTGGTGGTTTTAGTGGTAGTAGTGGTGGTGGTGCTACTGGTGGCGGTGGTGTTGGTGGTAGTAGTGGTGGTGGTGCTAGCGCTAGTGGTGGTGGTAGTGGTGGTAGTTCTCGTGGTAGTAGTGGTGGTGGTGGTAGTGGTGGTAGTTCTAGTGGTAGTAGTGGTGGTGGTAGTGGTAGTAGTGGTGGTGGTGGTAGTTCTAGTGGTGGTGGTAGTAGTTGTGGTAGTGGTAGTTCTAGTGGTAGTAGTGGTAGTTCTAGTGGTGGTAGTAGTGGTGATGGTGGTGGTGGTACTGGTAGAAGTGGTGGTGGTGGTAGTTCTAGTGGTAGTAGTGGTGGTTCTAGTGGTAGTAGTGGTGGTGGTAGTGGTAGTAGTGGTGGTGGTGGTAGTTCTAGTGGTGGTGGTGGTGGTGGTGGTGGTAGTGATAGTAGTGATGGTGGTGGTAGTTCTAGTGCTGGTGGTAGTGGTGTTGATGGTAGTAGTAGTAGTGGTGGTGGTGGTTTTAGTGGTAGTAGTGGTGGTGGTGCTAGTGGTGTTGGTGTTGTTGGTGGTGGTGGTAGTGGTGGTGGTGCTAGTGCTAGTGCTAGAGGTGTTGATGGTAGTAGTAGTGGTGGTGGTGGTGGTTTTAGTGGTAGTAGTGGTGGTGGTGCTACTGGTGGTGGTGGTGTTCGTGGTAGTAGTGGTGGTGGTGCTAGCGCTAGTGGTGGTGGTAGTGGTGGTAGTTCTCGTGGTAGTAGTGGTGGTGGTGGTAGTGGTGGTAGTTCTAGTGGTAGTAGTGGTGGTGGTAGTGGTAGTAGTGGTGGTGGTGGTAGTTCTAGTGGCGGTGGTAGTAGTTGTGGTAGTGGTAGTTCTAGTGGTAGTAGTGGTAGTTCTAGTGGTGGTAGTAGTGGTGATGGTGGTGGTGGTACTGGTAGAAGTGGTGGTGGTGGTAGTTCTAGTGGTAGTAGTGGTGGTTCTAGTGGTAGTAGTGGTGGTGGTAGTGGTAGTAGTGGTGGTGGTGGTAGTTCTAGTGGTGGTGGTGGTGGTGGTGGTGGTAGTGATAGTAGTGATGGTGGTGGTAGTTCTAGTGCTGGTGGTAGTGGTGTTAGTTCTAGTGATAGCACTGTTGGTGGTAGTGGTAGTAGTGGTGGTGGTGGTAGTTCTAGTGGTGGTGGTCGTAGTTGTGGAAGTGGTACTTCTTGTGGTAGTAGTGGTGGTGGTGGTGGTAGTGGTAGTAGTGGTGGTGGTGGTAGTTCTAGTGGTGGTGGTAGTGGTTGTGGTAGTGGTAGTTCTAGTGGTGGTAGTAGTGGTGATAGTTCTAGTGGTAGTTCTAGTGGTAGTAATTGTGGTGTTGTAATGGTAGTTGTGGTGGTGGTAGTTCCAGTGGTGGTGGTAGTTCTAGTGGTAGTAGTGGTGGTGTTGTAATGGTAGTTGTGGTGGTGGTAGTTCTAGTGGTGGTGGTAGTTCTAGCGGTAGTAGTGGTGGTGGTGGTAGTTCTAGCGATGATGGTGGTGGTGGTAGTTCTAGTGGTAGTAGTGGTGGTGGTGGTGGTTCTAGTGGTAGTAGTGGTGGTGGTGGTAGTTCTAGTGGTAGTAGTGGTGGCGGTGGTAGTTCTAGCGATGATGATGGTGGTGGTGGTGGTGGTAGTTCTAGCGATGATGGTAGTGGTAGTGGTAGTAGTGGTGGTGGTGGTGGTAGTAGTAGTTGTGGTGGTGGTGGTGGTATTGGTAGTAGTGGTGGTAGTGGTGATGATAGTACTGGTGTTACAACTGTTGGTAGTACTTTTAGTAGTGGTGGTGGTGGTGGTTCTAGTGGTGGTGATGGTAGTGGTAGTGGTGGTGGTAGGGGTATTAGTGGTGGTGGTGGTAGTCCTAGTGGTGGTAGTGGTGACTGTGCACGACGAGACTAACATCTTAACAGGTAATCTGTGAAATATCGAATATCTGACGTCTTTATATAGCCAGCAGGTGAAGGGTTGATTCATACGGAAAGGTGGAAGTATACCCAGTGGCAAAGTGTTCACGCCACTCGCCAAAACCTTAGATTAATGTACCATCGGGAATACAGACGTAATTGTATAAGTATGTTCATGTCAACATTTACCTTGCTCGAGAAACACTTTGTAAATACAAAACATTAAAACCAAATGAAAACCGACAAATACTTAACGAATATATACCAGTGTCCAGTAACAGCATGCGTGATCGTGGGTTTCAACCCGGACGTCTAAAAACTGCGTCACTTCGGACTTTCTTCCGACATGAAGCTAACACGCCACGATATAACTGCAATACTCACTCACCCACTCTTTGTATCAGCCTCCAATTCATCTCTGAGGGTCCTGGCTGAAGCCGACATATCAACACACTACCAATCAATATATTTAATATGAATATCATTATACGTCAGACAAGGAGTGAGGGCAGGGACTTTGACATTTTATTGGTATATACAGGTATACATGAATTACAGTAGCGTATCTACATATTCATTCAACATGACGTTAGTGATGTGTATCTGAGGGAGGCGAGGGTTGGCGGTGAATTAAAATGCATTGCATCCTCGCTGGTTTGTGATCGGTCGAGGTCGCTGATTTCCGTGTCATTAACTTGCCTTGACGTATTCCATTCGTCACCACTCGCCCCTTTTCGTAACCTGCAGCTATTCGGCTTGTCCCGGAATAACACGAGTTGGTCAGGAATTCGTGACCAACTCGTGTTATTCCGGGACAATAGCTTCTCGT